CTCCCCCCCCGGCGCCGCGCCCCCCGCCCCGCGCTCTGCCGGGGGGGGGGAGCGGTGCGGTGTGTGGGACCCTACCCCTGGGGCGGGAGCGCCGCCGCGCTTCCCAAGCGGCGCACTATCCAGTGCGCCACCGGGCCGGCCCGTGGGGTGTTTCTTTTTCTGTATTTTTCTATTTTTATTTGTATTCATTCAACAGGCATTTCACCTTTAGTGAGATCCATCTGTCACTAGAGGTGGCCAGCTATGCCAAAAGCCCTAATAGTCTAGTCTGACACAGATAATCAGTAAAAAAGCTTAGTTGAAATCGGACCAGAACAATATAGGCAGCCCTGTGCCCTTCTCCTTTTAAAGTGAAGATGTTGATGCAGGGAAGCAGAGGCACCTTGGAATTGCTGGTACCTCTCAAGAGGTTCTTCTTTAGTGGGGAATATGAAACTGAAGTGGCTTTCCTTTTAAAATGGAAAGGATTTCTTAAATTTTTCATCTGGCCTGGAGAAGAAGAGTGAGGAATCTTGCTTCTATGAAATTACCAAGCCCTTTCAGTAGTAGAGGTGGAACTGTATGCTTAAATGAACAGTAATGCTTTTGCTTTCACCTGTCCCACCTACCCAGAAGTGCTTAGTGTCCCATGTATGCTGGTAAAGCATGTAGACGTACCAGTCAAATTTGAGCCCATATGATTAAATGGTCCTAACTAGTTGACACTGCTGAAATTCTCCTAGAGGATGATGATATCATGGGATTGGATCCTTTTAATTTGCTGGAAATTGATTGGTTGTAGCTTACCAGTTGTTTGAGTGGCTGTCTGAGATTTCAGTTGGTGGTTTTATGTTTTTGTTTTAAGATCTCAGCAAAGCGATGTCTCAGGATGGTGCTTCACAGTTCCAAGAAGTCATTCGACAAGAGCTAGAATTATCTGTGAAGAAAGAACTAGAAAAAATACTTACCACAGCACCATCACATGAGTTTGAGGTAAGGACTCTACACTGTTTTTTGCTTCACCTGTCTACATACTGAGTTGCTGCCAATGAGGATGATTGTCTAGCCTCAAATAAGCACAAGATGTATGACAACATCAAAAACAAAAAACTAGTATTGCTTAATAGTAAAGATTTTTAACATTGTAAACCATTATGTCTTTTTTTTTTTTTTTTTTTGAGTTAGAAAGTTTCCAAAGTCACTAAAAGAATCAGGACAAAATTATACTTTATTTGTTCTATGTTTTGATATCACTGGGTGGAAAAATGGATATCAGTGCTCAGTTGGAATTGTGAGAAAGTAGTTTATCAGCCATATATTCTACACGCCTTTTCCTTTTTTTTTTTTTTTTGTCTTTTGTCTTTTTCCGTGTCCGGCAACGGATCGCAACCCTCAGTGTTGCCCCCGCACCGGACCGGGGACCGGCCACAGGACCGCAACCCTCGGCGTTGCTCCCGCGCCTCGCTCAGCCAGTGAGCGGGAACCGGTCTGTATGTGGGATCCGAACCCTCGGGCGGGAGCGCCGCCGTGCTTCCCAAGCCACGCACCATCCAGTGCGCCACCGGGCCGGCCCCTCTACACGCCTTTTCCTTTTTTTTTTTTTTTGTCTTTTGTCTTTTTCCGTGTCCGGCAACGGATCGCAACCCTCAGTGTTGCCCCCGCACCGGACCGGGGACCGGCCACAGGACCGCAACCCTCGGCGTTGCTCCCGCGCCTCGCTCAGCCAGTGAGCGGGAACCGGTCTGTATGTGGGATCCGAACCCTCGGGTGGGAGCGCCGCCGTGCTTCCCAAGCCACACACCATCCAGTGCGCCACCGGGCCGGCCCCTCTACACGCCTTTTCCGAAGAGCCAACTCTTAATAGAACCATGCTACTTTGACAACTATAATAGAAGTTTCTTAGAATTGGAAAAGTATTTACTTTTCTACTTAAATATCAATAGATTATCCTTTTCATTTTCAAATTTCAGTTTGCACTTAACCTTTTCAGGTTAGCCATATTTTGTTCTTTTTTCTCCTTTTGGTGAAGATTAATTTCCACTTAAAAGCAGAGAGAGATATTGGTGAGTAAATGGAGAGAACCAGTTGGAGTTCCCAAAAACCAAGTGGTGTTCAGATTACATGATACTCCTGGGAGATGGGAGGATTATTTGCTTTTATTCCTATAAATGAGGTTCCTATTAGCTTTTGTTCCTCTTTAGTTTTAAATTCGGGTGTAAAAAGTCTCTGCTGTACTCCATGTTCTAATAGTATAAGAGTTTCATTTAAAGGTATTTAAATATACTTACATCTAAATATAAATGTATTTAAAGGTATTTAATTTCATTTAAAGGTATTTTATAGTTTGTATCTGTTTTTATGTTTTTATTAAATATTAAGCATTCTGCTGATTGTAACAATGCCTTCTATTTTCATAGCACACTAAAAAAGACCTCGATGGATTTCGGAAGCTATTTCATAGATTTCTGCAAGAAAAGGGACCTTCTGTGGATTGGGGGAAAATCCAGAGACCTCCAGAAGATTCGGTAAATTTTAGTTAAAATGTAGGAAAATTTAAGGTAATTTTGGACATCGGTTGAACTTTGGGGTTGGAGTAACGTACAGGATTTGTGAGAACCCTCACATCAGACACAGACAAGAATTGCTTTGCATTCTCTGACCCCTCATGCTGAAATTACGTATATATAGCCTTCTACCTCTTTCCCTTCTTTTAGACATTTCAGAATCCTGCTGAGAACTTCTGAAAGTCTAATTTCCCTGTAGCACTACCTCGTAACTTAATATCTCTGTATCAAGGTATTCTTTTGCGAAGTACTGAACACACTGTAAGAGCTTCATTTACCTTCATTTCTTCCTTCTCTCCATGGGCAATGAGAAATGAAGCCATTTGATTTCTCATTTCCCATAGGGTCATGGATAGACACTTAGTTGGATCTTAAAGCTCTCCTATGCTTTCAACCCTTCTTTACAGCCATATTTCCCCTGTCTGCCTTATGTGAACCAACCTAGCATTCCCTTTACATACGTGGTATTCCCCTGCTTCTGGACTTCTATGTGTGCTGTTTTCCTGGAACACCATGGTCTCTTCATCTATTCAAATCCTGCTTATTCTTGGAGGCTTAGTCCAAATGCCTGTACTTCTGTCATCAGCCCCTAGTGAAAAGCTGTGCTGAGGAGGTGTACAGGTATAGTATTGGAGTTCAAATCCTAGCTCTGCTGCTTATAAATTTGAATTTTGTATAAAATGAGAATAATGCCAAGTGCTTTATGTACTTCACAGCATTGTTATGAGGGTTTATTAAGATAATATATGTGGAAATATGTTAAACCATGAAGGATTTTGCAGATGTTAGTGGTTATTTCTTGATCATGTGACACTTAGCCAGCCTAATTAGGAGTAGGTGTTCATGAATGTTTTGTCTTCCATTGCTAGATGTTGAGGCCAGGGGGCTGTGTGTCCTGAGCAAAAATGTTTGTTGAATGGATGATCTAAATGAAGTGATTGTCTAAGGAACAGTTTTTGTTAACATAGTGGCCTTTTTTTCCCTTTCCTGTCAGCTCTTTTGACCTTTGCTGCTTGTTGTACTTTTCACTGCAGGTAGAAAAGACTTGATAGAGTGGAATAATTGTGTGTAGATAGTTTATCTCTTGTGTGTTTATAGTTTTACATAATCTAACGTTGGTTTAAAAACAGGGCTGTTTGGGCCGGCCCAGTGGCGCACTCAGTAGAGTGCGGTGCTTGGGAGTGCGGCGGCGCTCCCGCCAAGAGTTTGGATCCCATATGGAGACCGGTCTGCTCACTGGTTGAGCGCGGTGCGGGCGCGACGCCGAGTGTTGTGATCCCATTGCTGGTCGCAGTGCGGGCGCGACACCGAGGGTTGCGATCCCGTTACCGGTCACAAAAAAAGACAAAAAGGGAAAAAACAAACAAACAAAAAAAAAAAAAGAAAAACAGGGCTGTTTAGGGCTGGCCCCTGTTGGGCGTCTCCAGCGGCCGCACGGGACCCCAACAGGTTTTTCCTTTCCCTAGAGGGTTGGGGCCAAAGGGATTGCCCTTTTCTCCCCTCCAGGATGCGGGACAAAAAGAGATTCCAAGAGATGGGTGAGCACGCCGCTGCTGTCCCAGATAGGGAACAAACACATACACACACAGGGGGGTTCTGTCAGGCAGTTCTGCTTATTGTAACATAAAAGATCATATTTATGTGCTTATTAGCAGGCGGGGATTTCCAAGCTTAGGCCAATCCTTGAAAAGGTCAAATGTGCACGTGCCTTGCCTCTCTATGCTTAGCCCTCCCCCTTAACTTCCCTTGGGCGCCACCTATTATCCATTTAGGCCATCTGTTGTTTTTGCTTAGAAAAAGGGGGCGGTCCCATAGTTCCCCCATTTTGTTTTAATAAAAGCCTTGTGTTGTTGTGTCTTAGGTCGTCCCCCGCCCACCGTTAGGGGATCTTACCTGTTGTTGACTATCCAACCAAGCCGAGGCTGAAAGAACCTGTATTGGTCTTGTGTGGTTGTACCTGTCTTAGGTTGTCCCCTCTGTGGGGGATCTTACCCGTCATTGACTATCCAACCAAGCTGAAGCCAAACAGGAGATTACACCTTGGTGTTAATTTTTTGAAGGGCCAAATTGACCCAAGGGTCTTGGGGGTATTGTTCATTAGCTACCTTTTCCACCACCTGGGTGAGCATGGTAAGGGACCCTAGGTTGCACCTTATAAGAGCTGTTAGCCAACCCCACATGCATGGAGGGCCTGTTAAGGTGGATATTAATGGTGAGCCAAGGGGAAGTTCTAAACCAGCCTTCAAACCAGCCGGAATTGGCCTCTCTTTCCCTCCTACATTTTTCTAATCCTTCTCCTAATTTAGGTGCGTAAAAGCAACATTCTTCTTTTTTTTTTTTTTCCTTTTTGTCTTTTTCCGTGTCCGGCAACGGATTGCAACCCTCAGTGTCTCGCCCGTACCGGACCGGGACCAGCAACGGGATCGCAACCCTCGGCGTTGCGCCCGCATCTCGCTCAGCCAGTGAGCGGGAACCGGTCTGCATGTGGGATCCGAACCCTCGGCGGGAGCGCCGCCGCGCTCCCAAGCGGCGCACTGTAGCAGTGCGCCACCGGGCCGGCCCACAACATTCTTCTTT